GGCGGGGCCGCGCCTCACATCCGGGCCAGCCGAGGGGCGCGAGCGGCTGGCCTCGGCGGCGCGCAGAGGTAGGAGAAGCCGTGACTCGCCGCGCGCGCGCAGTGGCGAGAAAGGCGCCCAGGCTCGCCGGGCTGCAGACGTGAGGAAAGGGCAGAGGTGCGCCCCCGGGCGCCGCCCTCACGAGCAGACTGAGGGATGTCGCGCCCGGTGCAGTAGGCGGGGCGGGAGCAACAGGCGTGCCTTATGGGCGCGGGCAAAGCCCGGGTGCTGCGAAGAAGCGTTCTCCCGGGTTCTTGGGAATGGGCCGGAGGGGGGGCACGTGCTTCGCGTGTCGAGCGCCCCCAGGAAAGGAGGTGCAGGGCGAGGCCAGCCGGAGGGCGAGCGCCTGGAAACAGGGCGAGCCGGAGGGGGCCTCCCGGGCCATCTAGTCTGACCCCCGGCTCCAGCCAGCTCTGCTCATAGGAACATAGAAACAGGGCGAACCAGAAGGGGTCTCGCGGGCCATCTAGTCTGACCCCTGGCTCCAGCCGGCGCCGCTCACGACATGCCCGCCATGTGGACGTCCAGCCTGTCCTTGAACACCCTCAGCGATGGGGCCTCACCCACCTCCCGGGGAAGCCCATTCCATGCCCTCGAAGCCCATTCCATGCCCTGGCATCCTGGCCGCCTGCTCCCCTGCGAGCCTTAAATCAGTCGGGGAGCTGCGCCCTCTACGATTCGGCTGGGCCAGGGAGCTCCGTGCCTGCCTTGCTCGGCAGCCTTGGCCAGGGCCGGAGGCGCCCCCTTTCCCAGGGCAGGGACACCTTCGCCTTTGCCGTGAAAACTGGTGGCACGAAGGCCAGTAAGTCCGGCGGCTCAGACACAACGGAGACCCCGGGGCCTGTGCAGCTTCACTGCAGCAAGAGCCCTTGGGCAGGCAGCAGGCCGCCCAGCCATCCAGTGCTCCAAGAGAAAGACGCCCAGCCGCTAACTCTCTCCTCCTGCTGCTCTCATCCTCGCAGGAACAACAACCCTGCGAGGTAGGTTGGGCTGAGCATCTGTGGCTGGCCCCACGTCACCCGGGGTGGAGACCAGAACCGCGACCTCCCGAGCCCCAGGCCTGCATGCTTAACTGGCTCTCACACATGAGCCTCCCCTGGGGGGCATTTAGACCCCTACTGGGCCATTCCAGGTTGCCAGCAAGTATTTGCCATCGACTGATGCCTGTTTACACCTAAGTAAACGTGAGGCAGATACTTATGGAACTCATATTTCAGGTAAACTTTGAACGGAGTTGGTATTCCTCCTATGCTTTCCTCCTCCTGCGATTCAGGAGTCAAGTGCCCTGGAATTTATCCTGTGCAACCACACGTGGTGCTTTGTTAGTTCACGTGTTTGCTCTTTTCACTTACAAAGCAGGAGTGAGGTATATCTAATTTTAATAAAATGTGCACGTCTCAGAAGAGGCTTTGCCTCCTCTGCTGATCGGTTACCCCGTGCGTATGTCTACTGTCAGAATCCCGGAATCCCAATTTGGGAAGAGGGAATAAAACTCGGGTTCGTGGGAAAGACCAACCGTCCAGACCATCTGAGGCTTCATTGTTTTACCCCAAGGTTCCCACGGTACACTCAGGATAATGCATGCATTCCCGGGCAGGCAGAGTGAGCTCTGCTGCAAAGCTTCAATACCATTGCAGGGCACTTATAGGTACACAGGTACAGGGCAACTGATGACAGAATGCAGAGATTACAATAAGATTCTGAGGTCCTCACATACAGAGCAGATCAAGAAATGTCAGTCAATCACACTGTAACAATGAGATTACAATATTTCTAATTGCCTGTATTGACACTTGAGTTGAGTAACTTGAACCCATCTCCAGGTCTGCTCAGACATGCAAATTCAAGGTACTAGAAGCTATTCATGATAAGCTCAGGCCCCCATCTCGACTCTAAACTTTCTGCATGATCAGGGCACATGAAGCCCTCTGGGCTATCAAAAGATTATTGTAAACTGAATTCCAACAATGACTATTTTCAATGTATATTTGGGCTAAAATGGCCTGTCTGCTGTAGCCCACAGCTAAAGGTGAGAGAAAGGAGTGGGGGATGCCATTTTAAACAGTGACAGCTTGATTTTGAGAAGGAAGACAGGATTTGATCCCACGATGCAAAGGCACACAGGAGTAATGCTTTTCAGACAGGCTTTATCCAAATTTTCCCAACACTACCTGCTCCTTTATTTCTAGCATGAAGCCTGGCTAGTCAGGTTTGGCTTCCCTCTGTCTAGGTGGGCAAACGTGACCGACCTGCAGCATCCAGTCGGGGCTTTAACATCATCCTTTAATCCTAGTGTAGTGTGAAGAAAGCCAGTTTATCATATCTGAATTGCCATTAGCTCCCAAAAGAGAGAGAGAGAGAGAGAGAGAGAGAGAGAGAGAGAGAGAGAGAGAGAGTCTTTTAACCACCCAGACTGCCAGCTGGCTATTGGGCAGTATAAAATGAAATTAAACAAATGAAAAGCAGAATACGGTGCTGGGAAAAAGCAAAACCTTTGCATGTTAAAAACAAATCTATGGACCCACACAACTGTTTTTAGAGATGTGATTTTGGAAACTTCTCTTTTTAAAGATGTGATTTTGCAAGCTTTTCTTTGGTAAAAAGTAAAAAGGACGGGTCTGCCCACCCCCCTCCACGGAGCGGGCAGCTCCCAAGCAATGGGGACGGGGCAGTCCTATAATTCTCTCCCTGGACCAGGCTTCAAATTCTATTGAGCAGGAAGCTGCAGGCTTCAAACACACCAGGGCATTCTAACTTAATTTAACTTAATCTAATTTAGAGAACAATTCCTTGGCCCCCAGTCACCACCACTGCCCCCCCCGGCACGCAACACTGAAGTGTCCGGGTTCAGGGCCTTGCATGCAATGAGGGTACAACCTATCGGACCACCCTAAAAAGCCAGATAGCCCTGAGGAGCCCACTCCTGGAGTCCCCCCAGGATGCGTGCCAAGTTTCAGGTGCTTGGGGCTTCATGGCCCTGGTGCTACACTGTTGACTAACAGTCTTCTTTTTATTCTAGACAGATGACCAGCTGGATTCTCTGAGTGCAGAGAATTCTCAATTCTCCAAGCAGCTTTAGGCATGCGCAAGTGGGAGGGGTCGCCAGGGCTGAGGGAAGGTGGGGTATAAAAACTTCTAGCAAACAAGCACAATAAAAACAACCCCCCACCCCACCCCCAAGCACAAGGAGGACTGAGCATTCTCAGAGTCAAATTAGAGGCGACATTTATCAAGCCATGCATCCGTTTATAGCTTTTGCTTTGGAAACCAAACTAGTACAGGGCTGTGCGGCAGGAGTTTCGATTCACCTCCTGCGTTGCGGGCCCAGTTAGAATTCCCCCTCCACTATTGCTTTGTCGCTTGCGATGGCTAGAATTCAACTTATCTTAATGTCATCTGCTGCTTGGAGGAAAGAATCAGGACAATTTTAATCAAAAATGCATCCCCTCTGAGCATCTCTCAGGCTCCTTAGTTAAGAAATCTACAAACTGTGACACACACATCTTAACCTTGGAAATGATTACTACATGAGGTTTTTAGGCTAGAATTCAGAAGTTGCAAGGAACAATGTGAGCATGAAATTAGCCAGAGCACTGCAGTCGTTCTTCAGACCAGGGGAAGACCTCACCTGGCATCCTGTGTCCAGTTCTGGCCACCAAGATTTAAGAAAAATGCAGAAAAACTAGAAAGGGTGCAGAGGAGGGCAGCAAAAATTATCCAGGGTTTGGAGACACTGCCCTGCGAGGAGAGACTGAGAAAACTGGGCATGTTCAGCCTTGGGAAGAGAAGGCTGAGAGGGGACATGAGATCCCTCTAGAAGGACCTCAAAGGCTGTCCCAAAGAGGAAGGCCAAGATCTCTTCTTGCTGATGCAAGTGCAGGACACGGAATAATCAATTCAAGTTGTGACAACCCAGATCCAGGCTGGACATCAGGAGAAGCTTCCTCACTGTCAGAGCAACACGGCAGTGGAACCGGCTGCCTGGAGAGGTGGGGGGCTCTCCCACACTGGGGACATTCAAAAGGAAACTGGGCAGCCTTCTGAGTGGGATGGTGTGACTTGGGGTCCTGCAACAGCAGCAGCTTGGACCCAATGGCCTTCCTGGCTCCTTCCAATTTTACTCTTCTATGATTCTAAAAGAGAACATTGCCCTAGACAGAGGAAGCTAACTAGCTGGAAAACAGGAAACTGGTGTTGTGGTTACTGCTGTCCCAGCTTTGCAGTTTAAACTGGGTGAACGTTTGTTTCTTCCAGCTGCTATAATCCAAGTACAGGAAATGAAGAGGTGCAGAGTGAGCTGCAAGCCCTGTTGATGATTCAGAGCTATGCACTGAACTGTCTGTCTTGGATTGGAATGTGGGAAATTCAGGTACTAGTCCCCACTCGGCTACAAAGCTCCCTGGTGACTCTCTGTCTAACCTACCCCGCAGGGTTGTTGTGAGGATACAGTTGAGAGAATTATGTAAGCCGCCTTGTGCTCCTTGAAAGGAAAAAAAGGTGGAATATAAATGTAATAAATAAACAAACACAAATGATGTGCATGCCGAGATATTCATGAATTGATTGTGCCAAGTGCCAGCCATGTTTCATGCAGTGACTTCAGTTAGGCAGTAAATAACCTGTGATCACAGGAACATGAATGAACGTAGATCATAGAAGCCATGTCAGAGTGATCAGAACAATAAACGGCTTTGCTGTGATCTCAAATGCTTTGTTCATGGAAGGTTATGATGGGCACATTTTATTTATTTATTTATTTATTTTATAGCATTTCTATGCTGCACCCATCACCGAAGCCTCGGGGCGGCTCACAAAGAAAACAAATAAACAAAGCATAGAATAACATTAAAAATTTGGAGTTTCTCGGCCATAATTGAAAACCACTAAATAAAACAACCGATTAACAATTAAAAGATCGTTTAAATAAAAAGGTCTTGGCCTGGCGCTGAAAAACAAGTAACGACGGCGCCAGGCGGACCTCTCTGGGGAGCGCGTTCCATAGATTGGGCGCCACCGCAGAGAAGGCCTTCCTCCGGGTACTCACCCTCCTAATATCCTTCACGGAGGGTTCCCAGAGAAGGGCCTCTGCCGCTGATCTCAAGGGGCGAGAGGGCATATATGGATGCAAGCGCTCCTTTAGATACCCAGGTCCCAAGCCATTGAGGGGTTTATAGGTGATAACCAGCACCTTGAATTGGGCCCGGACTTCAATGGGGAGCCAGTGAAGCTGACAGAGAACTGGGGTTATATGAGAACAATGCCCAGTCCCCATCAGCAACCTGGCAGCTCTATTCTGCACCAACTGAAGTATCCGGACCATCTTCAAGGGCAGCCCCACGTAGAGCGCGTTACAGAAATCTAATTGGGAAGTTACCAATGCATGTGTCACAGTCTCCAGGCCGTCGTTCTCCAAGAAGGGACGCAACTGATGTATCGGCCGAAGCTGAAGGAAGGCGCTCCTCACCACTGCCATCACCTGAGCTTCTAGAGACAGCTCAGGGTCGAGGAGCACTCCTAAGCTGCGAACCCTGTCCCTCAGAGGGAGTGCAACCCCATTTAGGACAAGGCCCAAGTCCCCCATCCCGAGGTCTGATTCGCCCACCAACAGGACCTCCGTCTTGTCTGGATTGAGCTTCAGTTTATTGGCCCTCATCCAGCCCATCACCTCGGCCGGGCACCAGTTCAGCACAGCCACCGCCTCACCTGGATCGGTTGAGAATGAGAGGTAGAGCTGGGTACCATCAGGTTATAATTTTGTTCATGCCAAGACTGTTCAAGGGTTACCTTGGATTTCGGGAGAGCTCCATCATGCTGCTTTTCACTGAGGCCTCGATCCTGTGCATACTTACATGGGCGCAGAAAGGCACGGGGTCGTAATGCGCGATGCCCGCTGCCGCACGGCAAGAACCACTGTTATGCATCTGTCCAGATGTGAGCCTGCGAAGGGTCCTGAACCAGCGCCCCGAAACAAATCAGGCAGAGACACGCCACCAGGTGCGTCACGGCCAAGTTACGTGCCGAACACAAGGACACATTGGAAGCTGCCTCACAAGGAGACCAGGCCTTTGATCTAACGAATTATTGTAGATGCTGATGGACAGCAGTTCTTGAGTTTCAAGGTGGTTTTCCAGTCCTGCCTGCAGAAGCCGGGGATCCAGCCTGGGACTGTCCGGACTCAAAGGACAAGCTCTACCCCTGTGGTGCATCTCTCGCTATAAACGCTTCCAAGTCTGACTTCCAAGGCCAAGGGGACTCTTGATGTTCACTGAATTACACTGCCTTTTCGTTTTTACATCTGCAGAGATATTTATTAGGTTTGTATAAAAGGCGCCTGCCCTCAACATATCCAACTGTAATCACAAAGCACTTTTGTTTTCAACCAAGAGCCAATCTTCATTAATGTCATGGTACTATTCTAAAGTCCCCAAATTTTAGTACATGGGAAATGGAGTAAATTTCATTAGTCAAAATAGGAAGCTTACAACTCATGGTTTACTTGAAAAAAAATGTTTATTTTTGTGTTTTCAAGAATATCACAATGCATTGTGAAGTTACTCATTTGCTGAAAGACAAAATACCGGAAATCAGTAGTTTAATCTGCACAGTAAAACTTTCCCCAAGTAATTTTATAATTCATTAAACAATTGTAGAATGCATTTCCCATCTTCCAGATATCCAACGTTTCAGGGACCTGTAAACATTATTACCTTTCCAAACTGAAGTGACTTAGTAGCAATGCTACAACTAGGATTGCCATTGCGAATTCTTAGTATAAAAATAGTTATAAATCTTAACACATTTGTGCGCACATATACACATTCAGAAGAAGTATATCCTTGGCTCTTCAAAAATGGAACTAGTTTTTAGTATGTCTAATATAAATTGGCTTAATTTTGCTTTTTCCCTTTGTGTAACTTATTAATAGTGCAATCCTATGCATGTTAACTTTGAAGTGAATCCCACAAAGTTCAGTGGGACACCGGTGCAGGACTGCAATCTACAGAAGTATTTCAAAGCGGTCCTCTGTTTTTCTGTGTTTTGCAAAACCTTTGGACTGAGTATATATACAGTCCCCCACAAGAAATACAACTTCTTCTGATTGTTTCCAAAAGGAATAAGGCATACAGGTGACAAAATGCATAGCTTGTACAGGTTTCTACTGAAACAGTGCTTGGCACAGAGCATTTTTTAAAAAGGTCACTTGTGGCTTCTCAAGGCACTCCCCATGGCAGTCCCGTCTGATGGAATCATCACAAGACGCAAGTGTCACAGCAACGCCTTGACTGTGGCACTTCGTACCTAAGAAATGTGCATAGCGAAATCTCACTGAAATGCTCCACTACCATTATCTTTTTCCACGGACCTAATTACAGATTCTAAAAGAATATGGCAGAGTCTCAAAGGTTGGTTCCTACACTCAAGTACTTCGCAGTGCATTCATACAGCCCTCTTATGCTTGGCTCTCTGTGGTGGTAGAATGCCAGAAATCCAAGATAAATCTGAGACAGAGATGGGTCCACCAAGTCCAAAGCCAGCTGGACAACTTCGGATGACCCATATCCACAAAGTGCTTACGCAACTTCAGAACTTGCCGCCACAATGCAAGTGGAAACTGACTGTCTGAATCTAGCCTAACTTCTGTCCTCTAGCTGCCATTTTGGATAGCTAACTTAAGGTGATAAGATAAATTTATTTGTTATTATCTATAGACAACAGAGAGGCAAATGGTGGGCACTTCAATGTGCCGGTTCGCTCTCAATTTGTAGTTCAAGCTTGTAGGTCTTGTCCCAAAGGAGTCAGTGCTATACAATAGTTCTCTGCACTCCTCTTGAATGAAAGATTCAAACAATTCATGATTTGTGGTTGACTTAACTCCAGCTTTTCAACTCCTAACCGACTCAGCTCCTGGTTGGCACCATGCTGGGGTCAGGGGCTTCTATTCCCCTTCGTGCAGCAAGACAAGGTGGGCAGGAATGAAAACAGCCACAGAATTCCCATTTCTGCAGCTAGGAAATCCATGTTCTTTGCACAGAATGGTTTATGCATGCATTGTTACTGTTACTAAAGCGGAAGCTTCCAAAACTATCTATTTTTGGCAAGGTTTGGATAGCTCAAGCCATGGAGAAATCAGGGAGAAAATTCCGGGAGAGGTGGGGATCAGGACTATGGAACCAAGGGGCAGAATCCAAAGGAGGGCTTCCTTCCTATCCTGCCTCCCTTCTTCAAGCAGAAAATCCCCAGGACAGCCTGGTCCAAGCAGCAATGGCGATTTGGCACTTCCTAAACTGCTCATTACTAGACAGAGGCATGTTGGAAGAGCTTCCTTATGCGTGTCCTCCCACCTCGCCTCCTTCCAGAAACAAACATTTCTGTTTGTTCTGGGCTGTTCCAGAAGCACCCAATTGTCATTTCACAAGGGGCGGGGGACCTGGGCATTGGGATGGGTGGGGAAGTACGTGCCCCACTGAATTATGTCCAATGACCAGTGGCTCTGGGAAAGACCACAAATAGCTGAAGTCTTTGCCTCTCTTCTCCTTGGATGACTACATTCCCTACTTTGATTTCTACAAATACAGAAAGACCATAATGAGCTGAAGTGTGAGGAGAGCTGGCGTTTCCACACCTGCTTATTTTGTCCTCTTGCCATTTTAGGTAAAACAAGCTTATCTGGTTTCCAAAGCACTACAGTGACCTTTAACTTGTTTGACAACCATGCCACAAAGGCAGTAGTTAGTGTCTATCACGCTGCTTTCAGCTCCGGGAGAAAACTAACATCCGCATCCTGCCTGCCCCTGCACCCCTGCCAGATGCTGCATCAAGAGCAGGAAGTACAGATTTCAGCTTTTGGGGGGTTTTAACTGATGGCTGGCATTTTTGGAAGGGCTAGTATTGAAGCAGAAACCAGAGTCTATGTTGCGGCACTTATGGCTCCGGGCTCAAGCAGTAGTCCAACATTACACCCTCTAAATAAATACAACTTAAGGCACAAGCTATGCAGACACATGCAGAAAAAGGCCTATGGCTTCCAGCAGGGCTGACGGGGGCATGTTCTGTGTTGTAGGGCTTTTCTCTGTCTAAACATGCATCGGCCTACACCCTTAGTCTTACTTTGCTGGCCAGGAAACCATTTCCACAAGCCCCAAAACCACTAGCTTCAGAAGTTATCTACTGAACTACTCTGTTTTAGAAGAAGTCATTTATCTGCTATCTGCAGTCGGATGCATAAAACACCTGACATTTTACTTGTCTCCCATCACTTTTGCCTGACTAGCATCAGTTCTGTGTTGTCAGAACTGTGGGTACTTTAAAGATCTCAACCAGAAACTGAAGAATGCAGCATGACACCTCTTTCGACATTCGCCGGTTCGGTTAACTTCTTGCCACTGCGAACATGATATCCAAGGTCCATATTGGGATTGCAGAGTTAATGGCACTTTCTAGCTGCATCTGCCACATGGCTAATTATTGATTTGAAGCAATATAACACCTTAGACATTTCTCTAAGAAGAGATTGCATTTTCAAAGAAAAGTGACTATTTCAGTCATCGGGAAGAACTGATGTCTATCCTAGTATACATATATGCATGAAGAACCTCTCTCAAGCAGTTTTCCTTGACCTGAGACCCATAAAGGTTCAGCATGTACAGATTTATACAAGAAGTGATAAGGCAGAGATTGTAACCAGATCCTATTAAGACCTGCAAACATGGATGCGGAGCCCCTAGTATTAGCTCAGAGTTACTTGGTACAATAAATAAGCCACATTTCTCATCCGAGACTTTTTGACATCACCAAAAGGAATTGCTTGCCTGGCACTAGTATTTTTATAACCTTAATTACAACTTGAGTATTTCTCTGCTGATCCTGAACACATGATTGCTTGCACGTCGACGGTGGCGCTTCTCCGTTTCACTTTCATGAGAGAAAAGCAACTCAGCAATGCCTGTGCTGCGCCACGAACCGGAGAAGTCAGTTCCAAGTCTAGACTTCCTTGTGTCTCAAAGCCAATGAATCATCCCTCCAACAAAACAACTTTTCAGTTCAACCCTGAAAATAGATGGCATCATCAGGGTCTTCAGCATCTTTTTCCATTCCAAAATCCATTCCATTGGCCACATGCTATACATATAATTTCACAAATATGAGAGTTCCACCCTCTGCATAGTTAGAGGAGCAAAAGTCCAACAACGCCTATGCTGGCACTTGTTGGGACTTTTTTCTGTCTAGGCATACAAAGGAGTTTGCCCTCAATAAATTAGCTGTACTGTGGCAGTACTTAATCTGGCTTCAGTTTTTTCCTGTGATGCAAGTGTATTGCTTTCAAGCATCTGCAAGATAACCGTATACAGCGGTGTGGTTTTTAAGTGAACAAAGAAAGGCACTTTTTAACCCACAGAGCCCCCATATCTGCATTTCACTGTAGTTTACAAACTTACTAAAACTCCTTTGAGAAATTATCTAATGTGATGTCAAAGTTATGTCTCTGGAAATAAATACTCCTCAGGTGGCAGCACACTTGGGCAGAGACGACATTCATGGCTCCTCTATTTCTCAAACTTCCACGCTTGATTTCTGTCAGCTGCATTGCACGCCGACATCTGGACGTCAGGCCGACCCTCAGCAGTACGGTAAGCGCTGAGGCATTTTCCAGAATGGGGATGATAGATGGTTCCGTCTTCTTTAAAATGCCATATAATGTTTTCGGGGATGCTGGAGCCATCTTTCGGGCAGTTTCTCATGCCTACAAAATCCTTCCCTTCAGGCACTTCAGCACAGAGTTCAGTCACAGAGTTGAATCTGATTTCTTTATTTGATGTATACTCAAAGAACTGATTACCTCCTTGGCCATGGCATCCAAAGAGATTCACGTGGGCCCCAGTAGGGTTATGTTCAGGCGAATTGTAGTCTAAGCACTCGGAGAGAATTCCCATGCTGCGAATAGCACCGTGCCAGCCAGGCCGGTCCTCCGGTACATGCAAACTGGGAAATATATTTTGCAAGTACCAGTCAAAGTTCTTGCAGTTCAGATGCTTCCTCAAGAGCTTCCTTTCCGAGATATCGCCATAGTTTTCCTTCCGCGCCGGAGGATTCCTGTTGTAGAAGTGCTCTTTGTATCCATCCATCCACACTTCTGCGGCCCGTGCGGTGTTCTTGAGGAAGTTGGGCCTGGCATACGGGGCTCGCTTGGGGAAGACGTGGCCCACGTGCGAGCAGGGGTGGATCTCCAAGATGCCGCCACACTGCCATACCCGAAACGAAAGCTCCAAATTCTCTCCTCCCCAGACGTCCATCCCCGTATCGTAGGTCCCAAGGTATTCGAAGTACTTTTTGCTCACAGCGAAGAGCCCCCCCGCCATTGTAGGGGACCTTATGGGATCGATCCTCGATTTCCGCCTCTGGCGCTCATGATCGGAGACGGAGTGCCACTGGAAGGTCAGGCGCCAGTCGAAGCCCCCGATCATGGGCTCCCCCGGCTGCATGTAGAACTCGAAGGTGTTCCAGTCGATGGTGTCGATGACGGGGCAGATGATCACGCTCTCGTTCTCCGCGATCCTCTCCAGAAGCGGCTCCAGCCAGCCCGGGACGCACTCGCAGTGGCAGTCCAGGAAGGTCAGGACCTCTCCCGTGGCGAAGGTGGCCCCGATGAGGCGGGCCCGGACCAGGCCTTCCCGCTTGTTCGTCCGGATCAGGCGCACCCGCTTCAGGCCGCTGATGTACCGCTCCAGCTCGCCCTTCAGGTACACCTTGTCGCTCAGGTCGTCCACCAGGATGACCTCCTTGAGCAGCACGGCCGGCGAGGTCTCCAGCACGCTGTGGATGGTGCGCAGCAGCGTGGACCAGGCCTCGTTGTAGAAGGCGATGACCACCGAGGTGGTGGGCAGGCGGCGGTAGTCGTGGCGCCGTGCCTTACACTCGGGCATGCGCCCGTCCTGGATGTGGCGGTGCAGCGAGATCTGGTCGCTCAGGTAGACGTTGAGCGCGTACCGCTCCACTAGCTCCTCCTCCAGCTGCTTCTCGGCGGCGCCCAGCTGCAGGCGCGCGGCCTTGCCCCACTCGCCCGGGGCGCGCGCGTCCGGCGGCGCCTTCTCGTACACGGGCCGCGCCAGCTCCTCGGGCCGCTCCGCCGCGCCCCCCGGCGGCCGCCGCCCCGCGCCGCCGAGG